CACGACCATCCGCGCCCAGTGTTCCCTGCCGGACCTCAACCACGACCATCCGCGCCCAGTGTTCCCTGCCGGACCTCAACCACAGCACACAACCACAGTCACAAACACATAACCACAAACACAACCACAAACACGCCAAACACACAACCACAAACACACAATCACAAACACACAACCACAAACACACAACCACAAGCACAACCACAAATTCACAACCACAAACACACAACCACAAGCACAACCACAAGCACACAACCACCAACACCCAACCACAACCACTCAACCACAAACACACAATCACAAACACACAACCACAAACACAACCACAAATTCACAACCACAAACACACAACCACAACCACAACACAGCACACAACCACAAACACACAACCACAAACGCACAACCACAAACACACAACCACAAACGCACAACCACAAACACAACCACAAACACGCAACCACAAACACAACGGCAAACACAACAACAAACACAACAACAACCACACAACCACAAACACAACAACAAACACACACAACCACAAACACAACCACAACTACAAACACACAATCACAAAGACACGACCACAAACACAACCACAACTACAATCACAAGCACACAACCACGAACAGAACCACAAACACAATCACAAACACACAGCCACAAACACAACCGCAAACACATCCACAACACACACAATCACAAACACACAGCCACGAACACACAATCACAAACACAACCACAACCACAACACAGCACACAACCACAACCACAACACACAACCCGAGGACCACAAACAAAACCGAGAACTACAATACTCACGACCATGGCAACATGCTCCTCACTATGGCATCAATACAAATGATTGAAATGTCATGGTGGGGTTCACTCGAAATAGAGTAATTTCGACTTTGGAGATATGAAATGTTTAGCTTGTGTTGAGACAGCACGCATCTCCTTCATTTCACTGTGCCTTTGTTCCTATTCTCAGGTCAAGCATTTTAGTAATGCACATTTGGTCCGTGGCCATTGGGTCAAGACTGCCACATGGGGCAGAAAGCTCAACCCCCCAGAAAACCCGAGGATACCGGACGCAATTACAATATAATACAAGATAATATAATATATTTAATATAAAAGTTTATGAGAGCTCCGAAGTCTACCAGGTTCACACGGCAGAATAGGCCAAAAAATACAGAATCAAAATTTTCATCGCAGACCCTCAAATGGAAAGGGGTTGGTTGGTGACCGATGGAACCCACGAACCCTTTTTTTGGGACATCATGTCGGGTTTCTGGACTCCCGGACTCCCTTGGCGACACGGGTTGGGCTGTCCGGACGTCCCGGGACCTGAGAACGACGACCAGCTGGGCGGCCAGGGGTTGTCCGACTTGCGGTTCCTGAAAAGCTTGGTCAAGCTGTTGAGTGACCCCAACTGGCCGCGAGTGGTGCATTGATATCGCTCGTTCGTGCGACAAAGAAGTCTCAAATCTAAGAAACCAAACCAACTATTCCCCATTCGCAATGTTTGGTCCGCCGAATTTGGTACCTGCACGGTCATACCCCAGTGGGTCAACGCACCAGTTTAACCAGTTCTTTCGTAACGCACCAGTTTAGCCCGTCCTTTGGACTTGCTGGACACTGTTGATCAACAATATGGGGTCGGGTGCCAGTTCTCCTTGACTCGCTTCCAGTTCTGCCTGAATTGCTTTGGGGACACCCCACTGGTCCACCCGCAAGACTGTTCCGTCAATCTCCCAACAGGTGCCAGTGGATGGACCTGCCTCGAAGAACGATGAGGGTGGAGGTCGGATGATGAGGGTGGAGGTCTTCGTTTTTGTGTGGCGGGCTTGGAAGATTCCTGGAGAGGCTGAACAACCATTTTTTATCCTTTTTTGCCTATCCCATATAGGGTGCCATAAGGTCTCTCAACCGCTCTTGGGCCATCCTGGGAGCTGTTTCCCCCTTCACTGTCAACCGGTGCGCAGTACCAGCTGGATGTTGGGGCATAGACTTCGACCCTCCTTGAGCCGCCTGCTGTGCCCTAGCACTCCAAAAAGGATTGTCCATGCTTCCATGGGGAGCACACAAGCCCTCCGCCAAGTAGTGCAGTGGTGGAAGTAGGACCCTAGTACTCCACTGACCCCTAGTACTCCACTGGCCCGCCTTGGACATCCACCCTTTGGTCGTCGGAGGAGTGGAACAAGTAGCCCTGGCCCTTGGGTTGCACCGCCAAGAGCATGTTGAAGAACTCTGCTGAACCGCATCAAAACCCTGCAAAACTCGCACAAGCAAGTGTTTGGCTGTTGTAGCCTGTTTCATCGCAACGTGTTCATCACGACTTTCGGCAAACAAAGAAGTGAACAACGACCTAAAGGGTCCGTGCACAAATCTTTATGTGAGAAGAACTATTTCATTGAAATCATCCAAAAGCCTGTAAAGCGATATAGTTATAGTGAACCCCCAAAAGCGATGCCTTCACAAGCTACACTTCAATCACTTGGTTCAAATCTACTTTACAACCTTGTCAGACGAAAGCTCTCGAAATAATCCGTTTCTCGGCTTTGTTTTCGCTTGACATGAACTGAAAATTGATACCAAAGCGATACCCCTGGATAATCAAAATGTGGTCTAGATGAGCGGATCTCCTTTCGATCCCTTTTCGTATCGTTTTCGCGGTGCACAGATGAAGAGCTCTAGAACAAGAACCACAATAGAAGCGGAAAGGAAGCGCTGATGTGTCAATGGAAAGCTTTCTCTCCCTCTCTCTATGTGTCTCTCTCTCTTTTTTTCTCCCACTATCCATATCCATGTGCACTTTCACTTCGGTTATGTTTTCAACAGAAATCCTGCAGAAATATGACAAAGGCATCCGAAACACTGCAAAGCGATATAGCCACCCCCAAAAGCGATATGTGCCCATAGGTTTTGGCGATCGCTTGGTTCCATAAATGTCCCACTTAGTTGAATTCACAGTTTCAAGTCAGCATCTTTCTTTGGTTTGGGCTCAACACCATGAAATGCATTTGCTATGAATGAAGCCGCACTATGTCAAATCATAGGTGAGTTAAGGAATACACTGACACTTCTTAAGAAGGAACAACCTCTTGGAATCAGAGAAACATGAGGTTGGGTTAACACATGCCATGCATGAAAGGATAGCCATTTGTCAAGAATGGACTGATTGTACAAGAGAGGTTTTGTGCATATGTTTGTTACTATTGATTTAAGCACAGATGTGTGAGGAGAGGATAGCATATACAGTAAACGTATATAGAGTGTACTATATATAGTGTGTATATTGTTGGTTGGTTGGTCAGTGGGTTTTTCTCGCTTGGTTGGTGGTTTGGTCATGTTCCCGTCGTCCGGTCCCGGTCGGTCCCTGCTAGGTCCCGGTGTGGCGCTGCGAGCGGTGAACCCGGGCACGCTGGGACATCCGCATGTGTGCCGTCGTCGTTGCGTGCATCTCTCAAGGCGCCGGGTCTGTATGGGAGGAAGGGAGTGGAGAGTGGGGAGTGGAGTGGGCAGTCGTGGAGAGGGTTTGATGGGAGGAAGGAGGAAAGACGCGGCGTTTGACGCGAGGGTCTTGATTGGTGCCCGTGCTGGAACTCGAAGTGGGATGGACATGTGACAAGGGGTTGTTGAGAAAAGATCTCAACAATCCACCTTATTCACACACACGCACCTTTGGTCGAAAAGCACTCTCCCTTCTCAATGAGAAGCAATAGAACATGGGACTGCAGGACTTTCTGGACGAAACATGCACTTGAAGAAGTAATATGAATCGCCCTAGCTGTCTATGAGTGGACTATAGGATGATTCCTCCTTAAATGCGGGTTGTAGAGGTCTTCGGTTCCAATTGCTGAATGTTCTATCTACCTACAAAGATGACTTTGCTTTGGAACGACCTACCGGGAGTCCAGCCGCCCCTTCCGTTCTCGCGCTCCTTCCGTCTCGTGCCACGTACGCAGGGGAAATTGCAGGCAAGGTGCGAACTGTGACTCGATCGAGAATGGAGAAAATCGCTGGACATGTCCAAGAGCTTACAACAGAGGTTGAAACACCTGAACTAGGATCCGGTAGTGCAACCTCTCTTGTTTGGTGTTTCTGAAAGAGCTTCGTGTTCCGGACTTGTCGTCCAAACTCATGGACTCTCCGACGATGCCAAGGATGGGTGAAAATTGGTCGGTGGGTCAAAACGAAGATCGGCGCCTGCTGAGGTTTGAACATCGGTATTTCATCGTTTTGTTGGTTTAATCTCGGGTCGTTTTCGTTTTTGTTTGCTTTCCCAAAAGGACCAGCGAAGGGTTCTCCGCAATGAACGGCTACCGACTTCAACTGTCCAACCATCATCGTCATCATCATCATTATCATCACAGGTGCGCAGACGCAGGTGATGCACCTCATCTGACACACCTAAATAGATACAGGTGTTTGAGACAGGTGTAGATACAGCTGAGGGCACCTACAAAACTCACACAAAAACTACAACTTCGACATCTTCCTAATCTTCTCTTAAGGCGCCTGGGTAGATCATGCGTGCTGGATGTGCGAAACTCTGCAAATATCTAGAAGATCCGCAGAAACTCTTGTTTTTTTTTGAAAAGCGGCTCTTCCCGTCCTCAGGCGAATTTTTTCTGCGGAATTGAGTGCTTTTGCTGCTGCGAACTTTCCCTTTCAGGACTCTATAGAGACAATATATTATTCTAGAGGCTTTGAGTATTGGTTGTGGCTTACATTGGGCGGAAATCCTCTAAATCCGCGAATCCTTCGGACCGAGGCAGAAATTGTTGCCCCCGGCGCTTCTACTATGCAAATCGGTTTGGTCCTGGCACTACTCTTTGCGGAGATCGTGCGCGTCGAGTGCTCAAACGTGCGGCGAACTGCGAAATTAGAGTTGTCCTTGGTGAACCAACCCGTTGAGGAGGAGATTGTGCGTGCCGCGTTGTGTAATGACATGAGATGCGATTTTTGTCTGGCCGCGGTGAACCCTTTGCGGAGATCATGCGCGTCGAGCGCCCAAGTGAGGTGAAATGCAAATTGTGGTGTTCTTGATGAATCCTTCCTTCTCGGAGCTGGCAACTTTGTAATGGCGGAAAGCAGTATGGAGCTGTGGCCTCACAACTGCCAACTTTGTATTACAAATTGTAGTACGGGAAGCAGGTGGCATCAGAACTGACAACTTTGTAGTGCAAGTGTAGCACTGGAAGCAGTTTCTCAGCTGTTGCCTCAGAACTGGCAAGTTTGTGGTGCAATACAAATGTAGTGCGCGAAGCCTTCTGGAGCAATGACCTCACAACTTGGGATTTTGTGTAGGAAACATGCAATACGGGGCCCTGGGAGCTGTGGCCTCGGACGTACCAACTTTGTAGCAGCCGGAAGCAGCTTCTTGGAGCTGTGGCCTCAGAACTGCGGTGCAAATTAAATGTGGCACGGGTTCTGGGAGCAGTGGCCTCAAGTGGCAACGTTGAAGTACAAAGTAGTACTGAAATATACTAGAATCCTGGCAACTTTAAGTAGCGCAAAGTAGTGCTGGAAGCAGCTTCTAAAAACTATCCTCGGGACTCGTAACTTTGTGGTGCAAATGTTGTGCGGGCAGCAGCTTAAATGTACTCGGGGAAGCAGCTTGTGGATGTCACTGGGGAGCAGGATGATTGGCGGTGTCAGCAAGGCTTGGTGTTACATTGTTGTATCTAGTCAGTGGCGCACCGTAGGAAGTGACGTTTGTGATGTTGCCGTGGCATCCGGATCATCATCATCATCATCATCATCAGCATCATCATCATCTTGATCATCTTTACAATCCCCATCCTCATCGTTATCTTTTGTCATCTCCTGCTGTGCTTTCAGGCCACCCTGTCGTCTAGTTCAATGTGTTGATTGTTGTGTGTGTTCTGCCAAATGAGGTCCAGCGAAAACTGGCGCGCGTTTTGTTGTTCTATATCATTTATCTCCAAGTTGTTGCCGGCAATCTAAAATGTTGTGGTTAACCACATGTTTGCCATTTTGCATGACTCATTTAGTATAAGGAAACAAGAGTCTTGCATAAAATTTGTGTTGAAACCTAATAGGTTTGCTCGGCAAAATTATAGTTTTTGCCATTCTTACATGTTTGCGCAAACCTTTTGAGCGCTTAACCCATTTTACATTACTTTTCCGACGGCCATTTCCGTCACGGTCACTTTTTTGAAGTCGAGACTTTCAGACCCATTGTAGATCGCATTGGCGAGAAAAACATTTTTAGACTTAATGATTTGAAACGCAACCTATTATAACCCATGTTACATTGACCGTGTTGGATAAAATTAATGTGGTCGATGCAGCGGGGGGGCACCATTTATTCTCGGTAGCGGGTCCATTACCATCAAATTTTACTGCACCTCTATTCTCGGTAGCAGCGGGGACAATTTTATAGAATCACTAACCACAAAACACATCATAATTTGATGCCCTTCCAGTATATGTTCAGCCCACCGCACAAATCTTCAGCAGTTGTGCTGTGTATTCCAACATGCCACTCTAAGTGTTCTTGTTTATGAACCATTCCTTCAGACAAAAACCAAGTGAACAGTGTGATGGAAAAGCATTTCAGTCGAAGGTAGAATTGTAAGCCAGCGAGGTTTTTCGCACCATCCGTTCGAAACTATCCTTAGAGTGTGAGTGTGGGGGTCCCGACCTTTTCAGGATCCACCAAAGCAGCCCATTAAAAAATAAACGTTGTTTCAGTGCCTGGGAAGCTGGACGAGCGCGGTGAACTGGGACTGTTTCCGTATTTTTGTCATTCGGCTCGGTGAGCCGTACAGGGCGAATTTGTGTAGGAAGGTGGTCGGCATTTTGTCGTCATTAGTTAAATATGATATATATATATATAAATATAATAGTGCTTGGATTCTGTTTCGATGTAGTTTCATATCATTTGGCTCACTCCACTACAGAAACATATAAACATGTCAATGGCCCAGAGGAGGAGGACACATTTGCCAGTTTCCATTCATCAACAAACATGGCTGATGTTCACCAACAAAAATGGGCCCAGTGCAGTGCACCACTTGTAGAGAGTGACCCAATTTCTGTTGGTTTGATGCAGTGAAACAACTTGTACACAGGAGAGAACTTCGCAAGTTGCAAAGTCCGAGTTTCAGTGGCCTCCTTGCCTGGCCAGCCAAGTGCTGGGGGTCACTGGTTGCCCATCCAAGGTGGCTACTGCCATTTGGACCACACGAGAGTCACGAAATTGGACAAGAAACATCGCGCCATGCTGGACGAGCTACCGAAGGCCGCTGCGCCGTGGGGTGTGGGACTGTGGTGAGTCGGTCTGTTTGCTTCAGAAATACCATTGCTTCGGTCTGTTTTCGTGGACCTCGAGCATGTGACAAGCCTCAGAGGTTCTTTCTGCTGAAACCTTGCAGATCAGCGGAGGGATGAGACATGAACCAAGCAGGCTGGATGTCGAGAACCATGGGGGGAAAAAGGAAGCCCAAAGAGAGCTGCACAGAAATGCGCCTGTTGCTGTGTGTTTGTGTGTCTTTTGTTCTGCTTTTATTTCCATAGCAAGTCGAAGTTTTTTGGAGCTTTGTGTCTTGTGTTCAATGTTTCTAACGACTCAACCAGCCGACATGTCGCAATCGGTCACACCCAGAGAACAGATCGAACAGTAGCGAGAAACCTGTTGTCCTACTCTCCTTGGTTTGCAAAGGGTCCACCAAAGGGAGAGGCCCCACATCCAGTCGCTTTGGGAAATTAGCACTCAGTTCGTCTGCGTTTGGGTCGACGGAGAGTGGGGGTTGTGATCTTTTACACTTAGACTTAGACCTTTGGAAACACTGGCACCAAGCATGCGAAACGGCACCAAGCGTGCGAAAGACGAGCCAAAAAGCACCGAGTACTACGGGCGCAACGAGCGGCGAGCCGCGCAACGTGCGACATGCACGAGCTGCGAGTACTGTGCGGGGGTTGGCAGGGGGTTCTGATGCTCACCGTCCTCCATTTCTTGCGGTTGAACGCTGAGGAGATGCTTGGACGGTCATATTCAGTGCGGGAATCGTGGTGGCCAAGGTGGAAGGAAATGCTCGGAGCAATTTTGGGAACGATGGCCCGTGGACTCACGTGGACTCCATAATTAGCCGCGGGAAGTTTTGTTTAATGTTTCAATTGTCATTCCGTCTTTGATGATTTTGATGCGAATCTACTGTTTCCCTAGTTGTTTTCCTATATTGAATAGGTGAAAAGAGGATCACCTTTTCCCGAACAGGTCAGGAACTTGGCTCCATGGTTCACTAGCACACAAAAAAAACGTCGACGGGCGCCGGGTTTCTTGATCGTCGATCCGGTCTGTCAGAGACGCTGGTACTCTACGAGCGTGATCTGAGTGATATAGGCAGACCTCCGGCGAAGAAGGAAGAACACATCCACCCGTGAGTCAACCAAACCCATGGAGCCACGGGCTCTCCCATCCCCATGCTGTGCTCATCCAACACGCAATCGCTTTCGCATTTGCGTGATTTTTTCGGTACAAATTCATGGCCTTGGCTTCTCAAACATTTGGCTAATTTGAGACGGTGGGCAGCTGGCATGTTGCAGCTCAGGTTTGGGAAGTCCATTTGTTCGAACTCTCCCGCCAAACCGGCTCTGAGCGTTTCGATTCGTCCGCTTGAGTGAAGGAACCAAGCGCCTAAGGGCCTAGGTGGTGGGATACTTGCAGGCTGACTACGGCATTGACCTGGTCTTTTAGAAAGGCGAAGCAAAAAGGCAATCATGGACCAGTTGCACTGTGTTTTTGAACATATCCCCAAGAATCTATACCATACCTAATATATATATATATATATTAATTCCATTATATATATATATGTCATATATATATATATATGAGTAATTGGCTCAAGCTGTTTAAGCCTCAAGCACGGTGGCTCTCGGCCTCCGTGCACCCTCACCTACCAGTTCACCACTTGCTTGAAGGGCTCTTTGGCCAGAACTTGACCGGTGAGGTGATCCCTATGGCTCCAAGAGGCGACAGCTACTGCAGGACCTACCAGGTTTGTGGAGGAGTGAGCTGTTTCAACTGGATATGGGCTGACAAGATCCGCGAGGGCTACGTGTGCCGGCGATGCGGAGAGAAGTGGGCGTGTCCTCCTCAGGGGTACTCCACAGCCCCACCGTCCAGATCGCCCAAAGGGTCAGGACGCCAACAGCTCCCGGTGAAGCCTCCTCCGGGTTTGGGCAACAAGCCCAACAAGCTGACGAAGATCCAGAAGGCCACCGCTGAAGCTTTAGCCCCGGCCTGGTCTTCTTTGGACCAGACCCTGCAACAACGCCTTCAGGATCTTGGCATTCAGCCACCGCCCCCTAGTCCGGGGCCGGACCTGAAAGATGTCCTGGTGGAGAACATGGCTCAGCTGCCGCCACAGGTCAGGGAGCTCGTTGAGAAACTCACCAAACCCTCACCGCCCACCGAGAAGGACATAGCTTCCAAACTCAAGACTCAGGTCTCTCTTTTGAAGGACTTGTCTCACAAGAAGACGCATTTGCAGCAGAAAATCGACCACACCAAACGGTCCTTTCAAGATCTTCTGGAGGAAATGAAGGCAATTCAAGGGCGCATTGAGGCCGAACAAAAGGCTCTGACAGCCACAAGTGCTTCCTACATGAGCATGGTCAATTCAGCCAAGGCTGACTTGGAAGTTTTGCCAGACTCGGATGTGGGTGACCCGGTACCTGCAGCCGTTGCTGGCTTTATCAACACCTTGGGTGTGAACTTGACTGAGGAGCAACAGAAACAGTTGCAGAGCATGTTGAAAAGGCCGCCCACTTCCTCAGAGGAAGAAGCCAAGCGACGCAAGACTGAGGTTACGGCTACACAGTCTTGCGGGTAACATTTCCATGGATCACGGCTTTGACCACTCTTTCCACTTGGGACGCAAGCCATGTTGTTTTCAACATGCCAGGGGATTCACTTTGGATTGTGGGGACTTGCACAATCTTCCTTCGTTGTTGGCTGCTTCAGGCTCAAGTGTGGCCTCTCCGCGGGGTTTGGAGGGCTATGGGCCGCAGCGACGTCGACCTTCTTTGAAAGTTTTTGGGGGCGGACCAACACCTTCCGCTTCGGAGTCCACAGGGTCAGGGGAGGCACTGAGCTCTTCTACCTCGGAGCGGCCTCTTCGGGGGACCGCTGAATTCAGACCTTCCCGGGCTCTGCTTTGGCTCAGGTTTTGATGGAGGCCATGGAGGAGGATCAACCTTCGGACCTCACCCACGGGCAACTTTTCTTCTTTGATTTGTGTCAGAACGACCTCAATGCCTCCAGCAAGCAGTACAGGCTCACTGGGAGGCCGCATCATGGCCAGCAAGTCCTGGCCGATCTTCGACGTATGCAGAACATCATACATCGACACCTCCTCATCCAGGGGGACTACAAGCCACCTTTGGCCAATGTCTATGTCATCTCCCAAGTGTTAACCACCATCCTCCTAAATCCTGATGGCCAGAACCTTTGCTATGGCAACGCACCCTTCCGATGCTGGTGCTGGACTGGGGCCTTCGCTGAGGACTCAGCTAAGGCATGGGGCTACACCCAACATGCTGTTCGGCGCTGTCTCACGGAGTCTCAAGCCAGCTCGCTTGCTCAAGACCCTGATTTGGCTTCCCTTTGGGAGCGCTTCCACCGAGGCCAGCAAGCGGATGCAGCGGACTTCCTGGGGTTTTTGTGGGCCCACGCCGACTGCCCCTTCTTCGGGGGGCGTTTCTTCCATCGGAAGGCTCATGGCACTGTGGAGGTCAGAGAACAGTTTCCTTTGAATGTGATCTTTCCGGCTGGTGATCACCCTATGCTGCTGGATGAGCTTATTTCCAACTGGGCAGATGAGGACGGGGGACAGTTTCTCTACGGGGCCCCTGATGCCTTGGTCATCCAGCTCCAGAGGTTCCAGAAGCTCTCTGAAGGGTGGACCAAACATGACCGGCCCCTCGACTTTGGAACCGACATCAACATACCCTTCTCCGAAGATGGCCACCATGTCCATATGGCTGCCTACCGGATTGTTGCTCTGGTCACTCACCAAGGTTGTGATCATCACACTGGGCACTACCAATCCCTTTTGCTCATGGACAATGCTGTCTGGCTGGCTGACGATGGACAGTACCCGATCCCTTTACCGGAAATCTCACCCCAGCACCAGAGGGAAGTCCTACAGATCTGGCTCGTCAAAGAACCTCTGGACGAGCTCGTGGAGGACACTCAGGCGGCCCACGTCGAACCTCCTGTCAAGAAGGCACGGCATGGCCATGACTCCCTCACCATCATCTTTGCCAACATCACCAATTTCGGGGCCAAGGTCCAGGACTGGACGGGGACTCAGGGAGATGCTTTCCTCCTTCTTCATGAAACCCACATGGGTGAAGCGGCCACTTCTCGCGCTCTTCAATACTACACCAACAGAGGGTGGAAGGCGTATGGCTCGGCGGCCCACCCTACTGGGCACGGAGGCAGCTCTGGTGGGTTCTTGACGCTGCACTCCACCAAACACCTCACGCATCAAGCTGCGGAATTCCTACATGAAGGCAATGGCTGGACCGCGATCGGGTTGCAGAGGCAAGGCATGATGATTTTCCTCATCCAGATCTACCTCAAGACGGGAGAGACTTTACAGTCTCACAGCAACTCTCTCATCCTCAGCCACCTCATGGCCTTCTTGCACCACCTGCGAGCACCCTTTGTCATCGGAGGAGACTGGCAAAATGAGCCAGCCGCCCTTGCTGCCACGGTCATCCAAAGCAAGTTCAAGGCACACATCATGGACACTGGAGGCTGCACCACGTTGCATGGCAGTCAGATTGACTTCCTTTTGGTTTCCAACTCTTTGCACGGGGCTCTCCGACTGGAAGCATCCTGGGAGGTCCCCTGGAGGCGCGCAGGCTGTCCAGCAACTTCAGCGGTTTCCTCCTGTTGGGCGGACTTTTCAGTTGCCTCACCAGTGGACTAGCTTCCAGGAGGACAATGGGCCCTTCTACTTTTTGAACCACCTCATCACGGGTCTTGGCTCTGACCTGGCTCGATGGGCGACACAGACCGAGAAGTACATCACCCAGATGCTCCACAAGCCCACCCTGGGCCGGGGTTCCAACATCAGTCTGACACAAGCCCCTCTTGTTGACGCTTCCACTTCACGCAAATGGCTTCGGGGTTCGGTGGCCTTTTGGGAGAAGCTCAACGTCAGACTCAACGTTGTTCACCATTCTGGACACCGAGGGGTCATGCGTGATCTTCAGGCTATGTTGCAAGACGTCCCTCACTTTTGCTCTGAGGATTTCACTGCGGATGTCTTTGTCGCGCTCGTGGGGCAATGGCTTCAGCATCCCACCACGGATCCGGGGGACATCAGAGCTCAAATTCTGGAGCAGGAGCACCTGGCACAGAAGCAGGCCCTTCAATCCACCAGCATTGAGTTCCACGAATGGCTCAAGAAGGCCCACCATCACGGGCTACGGGGCTTGTTCCGCAGCGTCCGGCAAAGGGATCAGGCCTGGCAACGGCCCTTCCAAGACCTCCCTGCCTTGGAGCGAATCTCAGCTCGGGAGAAGCAGTGGGGAGACATTTGGCATCCCCTCACCGCCCAGGCCCACATCCCAGCAAGAGGCGCTCTCCTGGAAGCCGATTGACTCCTCGCTTCTTCAGAAGCTTTTGAGGCGCCTTCCCAACAAAGCAGCTGGACCTGACGGCATCTCCTATGACATGCTCCGACATTTGCCGTACCCAGCAGTGCACAGGCTGGCAGCTCTTCTTACCGAGATGGAAAGAGTGGCACTTCTGCCCACCCAGCTCACCTACACCAACATTGTCCTCATTCCCAAGTCCGCCAAGGTCGAGCGGCCTATAGCCTTGACCTCCTGCCTCTATCGCGTTTGGAACTCCTACCGGAAGCATGACATCCAGCGCTGGCAGATGACCTTGGACGATGAGCTTCCATGGGATCAAGCACGACCCAAGAGGGACTGCCTTTCCATTGCGGTTGGTCGTATGCTGAAGTCGGAGATCAAGAAGCACCAGGGCATCCACACGGTGACCTGTTTAGCTGACTTATCCTGCTTCTACGACACCGTCAACCTGGACCACATCATTGAGCCCGCGGCGGAGCTCAACTACCCGCCTGTCCATCTCAAGCTGGCTTTGGACCTTTATTCTGGGCCCCGCTTGCTTCAGGCTGAAGGCATAGCTGGTGATCCGCGGCACTACTCCCATGGCATTTTGCAAGGGTGCCCACAAGCTCCTGCCATCAGCAAACTCATCCTCTACAAGCCGCTCAAGGCCCTTCAGCACGCTCACCCGGCGGTTGCCCTTCAGACATGGGTGGATGACGTCTCCTTTGATGTCTCTGGCCATGACCCGGATTATGTGGCTCGGGAGGCCATCTTGGCCTACCGCACGCTCCGTGAGCTCCTCACGGAAGCAGGCCTGAAGGTCAACACGGACAAGACCGGCTTTCTGTCCAGCAGCAAGGAAACTGCACGGGCACTCAAGCTTCATCTCAAAGAAGACGATCCGCAACACCACAATGTTTTGTGGGATTTGGGAGTTGATGCTACAGCTGGCCGACACCGTCGTGTCACTCAAGTCAAGAAGAGGTTTCTCAAAGGAAGGGGACGAGCTGGCATACTGCAGAGGTTGAAGCTCCAGAGGAACATCAGTCATCGCATCCACAAGAGTGCAATCCATCCGGTCATGTCCTCGGGAGCCCAGGCGAATGGATTGGCCCCTCAGAGGCGGCAATACATCCGCGTCATGGCCGCCAGGAGTCTGCAACTTCAGCGCTCCGGATCGGTGGATGTGGTCTTTGACATGCACCCTAACCAACCTGATCCAGGCGACTCCATCATTCAGCAACATCTACATTCCGTCTGGAAGATCTATCACTCCTTTGATGAGAGCACGAGGCACCTTTTCTGGACCAGTTGGAATGTCGCCTTGGGAGCTTTGCAGAAGGTGAGATATCGGTGGCAAGTTGTTTCAGGTCCCCTCCAGGCTCTCCAAGCCTACCTCCTGGACTATGACTTCGACCTCTCGGCAGGCCCCACGTGGCGGCGCACCGGCTATGGGGGCCCTCAGTTTGGAGGAATGTTGGCCTGAGCTCCTCTACAAGCTGCAGACTGAGTTCCGATGGCAGCGACTCCTCCGCTTGACCAGGTACGAGGGCTGCCACGACCTGGAAAGACCGTTGGATTGGCAGGTCAGTTTGACTCTGCAGAAGATGTCGGAGAAGAATGGTCCCGCCCTCAGGGCTTTCCATCAAGGAACTCTCCATGGCCAACAAGGCAATTGCCCTCTGTGTGGTGACGACCTCACCTTCACCCACCTGTTGTGGCAGTGTCGCTTTTGGAAGGGCAAAGTCAAGGACATTCCTGAAGAGTGGAAGTCACGCCTGGCCGCTGGTACGGAACCCGAACTATGGCAACGAGGCATGGTGCAATCCATCTTTTACATTCAGGAAGGAGGCATGGGCACTTTTCAACATGAAGGGCACTGGACCCCCGAGGCTGCTTTCGACATTCCGGCTGGACATGCCATCTCTCTGGCGGTCGCCCCAACCTGCAAGGATGTCAGGCACAAGCGCTTTGTCTTCGCCCTTTGCATGCATCAGGTCTCAACCAAGCGACGGGTTGCGGCACTCAAAGGCATCTGCCCGGGTCAACCTACCAGAAGCAGGGCCCTCTTCTATGGCCTCAAGCACCTCGCTTTGCACAGCCAGGAGAAAGTCCATGTGGCCGTCTACGACCATGGAGTCTGGAAGCATTGGCAACCCACAGCAGCTTTTGAGCAGTTTCCTGACCTCTACCAAGGCCTGGACCCTGAGGACTTTGCCCAAGTTCGCCCACTCCTTTTCTCCAAGAAGGAGCAAGACACCAATGGGAATCGGAAGGCTTTCCAGGAAGATGCGGACCAGCTGGCCCGTACTTTCGCCAAGGCGTCACGCAATGAAGAGATCCTGGACCTTCAAAAGCACATAGACGAAGACACAAGAGATGTGCTCTGTGTTGCAGCCTCGAGGATGGCCATCCTTCTTCAGGACAAGTCACACTTCCTCCACCAGGCCAAGGCAGAAGCTTCCCCGCACAAAGTTCCTCTGGTTGAGCAAAAGCGGGCTCTTTTGAGGCAACTGGAAACCCGGCCTGACCAGGGCGGCCATTCCTGGCAAAGCTATCGTTCAGGAGTCCGTTGTGACCATTGCAAGCAACGGTTCCACGCCAAGAGCTTGGTGGCGGATCTTCGGGAGGCCCTGGACTCATCTTGTGCCATGGCGGCCCCTGCTTCTCAGCCGAAGAAAACTCGTTTTCAGGTCATTGAGGAGCTCATTGCTGCCCAATCTGGGGTGCAGCCAGGTGTACACCACTTGAAGCTTGACAAGGCTTACCTCCGCTGCACCGAGTGTGCTGGCTACATCTTGGCTCGCTGCAATGAAGAGATCTTCACCAACTTCGTGAGTGGCGCATGCATGGTGGGACCTCTTGACCCCTCGCTTTGGCGGGGTCATCCATCGCACACCATGAGCCGGAAGGGATCAGTGGCAAGATGCACCCGATGTGGTGGAAGCGGAAGGATCAAGACCACGGAGGTGGAGCTGAATGAGAAGCTCAGGAGACGGTGCGAGCACCTGGGGTCAAAGGACCTCAGGACCTGGTTCACATGACGCACGTTCTTGCCCGAAAAGAGGCGTACAAAAAAATATATATATATATGAGTAATTACTGCAAAGCAAATAGTTATACAAACCACCATTCGGTGTGGTTTGACCTCCCCAGCTTCACAAGTGCGGGGGTCCAAGTCCTCAGCTTCTCCCGATGTTCGGTGCGCCGCGTCGAGGCATGACTTGCTCCCCTGGGCGAGGCCCTTGATTCAGATGTGTGAAGAGGACCGGTTGACAGGTCCGGACGATGGACGTGTTGTTTCTTTCCGTGGTAACGACCGAAGCTTAGCTAGTCTTTGAAGCTGCTGAGATCTTCTGAGTCATTGGAAGCGGCTGAGTCTACGTACCGACCAGGTCGGTCGGACAATCGCAAACGACATCCATGGTGGTTCGGACCGCTGTGACGCCATCAATCGGCATCCCCCCAGATCACTCGGCCAAACATCAACCCGTCGGCCAAGCATCAACCTTCTGGATGCTGTTTGGAGAGGTTCAAGCCACTTGTGACGACAACTCGAGTTGCAATTGTTTCTCATGATTTCGATTGAATGCCCTCTTTTTGAAGACCTGTGGCATGACATATAAATTCCACGCCAACTTCACAAACATGCAACAATCGCAAGGGTTCATGAAATTCTTGGTTGTTCAAACAACCCTGCGGAATTGTAAACGTCGAATCACCTGTACAAAAAGCCTGCATTTGCATCGTCATTGTGTTGCGACCCTTTCGAAGTAGTTCTTTTTTACATCATAACAACACTTGCACGTGTCGCATTTTGTGAAACAGATAATTCCTGGTTGTTTTCTATGAAACACGTGTTTTCAAGTATTGAAACATGCTAGGTAACATCAGTAACATCCTTTATGAACAATATGTGTTCAGCTCAGATTCATGTTTTTGTGATGTAACTTGTTGGAAACACAAAACACTTTGTATTGTTCAGGTGTCATGGTCCTACCTACAAACCAACTCAATGTTTTGCAAGTGTTTTTACCATCCCTCGCTTCAAGTCCTGATTTGCTCCAAGAAAGCAGTCGTACTTGCCTATCTATGCCCGAAAAGATCTGTGGACAGCACTCAGAGTTTGCCCTCTGGAGTACTGTGATTACCTACTATACATGCAGTCAATAGAACTCACCATACCAAATTTGTAAAGAACAAACCCAGAGCTGTTTCATCATCACTACTTCACAGGGCATTCGCAGGGCCTGTGCTAAAGCAGTCGTGACGGCTGCCCCCAAAATGGGTGTGTCAATTATCATATTGCGCTGTATGACCGTAGTTGTCATCATGTTTGTTAATAGCACACATATGGAAACATGTTATATATTGCTATCATTGCTGAGCAAAGATGATATCGTGTATATATCGTGTATATTTGTGTGTACATATATATATATATTAACATATATCAACAATAATATGTATGTATATATATGTATATTATGGCCCTTTGCAATGCCCCAACAAACATCTTAGCTTGGTCCACAGTCGGTCCACTTGCAGGAGGCGGCAGCATTGGGCGGAACGCACAAGCGATATCAACGCTTGGACACTTTCTTGTCCAGGCAGGTTCCGGGCACCCCAGGAGTCCGGCGATCGATGATGGAGCGGTGATATGCGGTGATGAGAGGAGATGGGAGAAGGAATTTTCGAAGGCCGCCCTTCCACAAGATGCTAAGTTGGCCGTTTCCTTCAAAGTTTCAACACTTTTATATGTCCTGCCAATCGTCACGCCTTCTGGCCGCAACAGGATGTCCTTTGGCGCCATTTTGAGCCTCGCGAGCCACCGAATGAGCGACACCTTTCAACAGCGTGTGGCAGAGGCCGCGCGCTCCCCGTCGCGCTTCGGTGGGGACCGAGCGCCGCGGAGAGAAACAGCGGCGCGATTGGCGTGAGAGGACCTTGGTATTGGCGATTTGGAGCGGACCAAAGCAGCCTGGGGGTTGGACCTGGTGATCCTGGATGACCCCATTCAACTCAAAGCAGCATGTAGAAGCGTAGCATCCTATAGCATACTGTAGAAGCGTAGCGTCCCAACAAAATGCTCTGTCCCAGAGAACGGTTGTTGGGCTGTTTTGCGCCACAGTTGGAATCCAACTCGAGGTTTCACATCTCCCCACAGATGTATGGTTCTTGGGTGTTTTGATCCAACCTCTTTTCACCCAAACGACTGGCGCGGTGGGCGGTCCGCCAGGCCGAACAAGATATCCGCGAGGCCGAACGGAACGATGCACCGGTTCGGAACGATCCACCGGTTGTCGTGAGTGGACGAAGCATGGCAGCTGATTTGTGCTGCTGAAACCATATGATCTTCACATTGCAATCCTAGCCAAGTGGCCTCCACAGCTGACATGGTGCCTGGATTCTGTGGATGTCTTTGCGTATAAATATGACAAAAACAAATATATATCAAAAAGAGGGGGGGCCCAGATACTGCAAGCAACACTGGTGCATTCGCCGGAGATTTGGTTTCGCGGGGGACACCCACAACTTTGTTCGGCATAGGTCCTTATGTGCAGTTTGCCCTAGAAGAAGATTGCAGGTGATTAGAAGGTCTATATGTTTTTTCTTATTGTCGGAAGGAGCTTTGTCAACACTCCAATTTGCCATGAAAATTCATTTCATCCATGGGGTGCATGAGTCACAGAGTCGGACAAATCTGGACAAATCAGGTGCCTGAGTTTGATCTCCAACAATTGTTCTTTGCAGCTTTATCCACCCTTTGAATCCATTTGAAACGTGGGGAATCCGTGGCATTTGACTTCAAGTCGAGCATGCTCTCCAAGTGAAGACAACGATGATTGGGCCTGCAGACTTTGCAGACCCAGACCTTGGGGGTCCCCCAAGCCCTGAAATGAAACGTCCTGGTTGACACCTTTGACTGGTGGATCACACAAGACTCTATTTGATTGGCAAGGCCACAGGCAGCTTGTTGGACCGGTCAACATCATTCCCGGCCCGAAGGCCCTGCCTCAAACACCTCTGGCAGAGGCTTTGGCAGCTGTTCCGGAGCAGGAGCGAATGTGCATGAGGTTGACGCGAACAGGGTCCGAGGAGAAAACAGCAGACATGGGGCCGATGTTTTGACAGAATTTTGTTTTGCAATGTACAGTCCAACAACCTTTACCACCTCTCGCGCCCGAAAGTCGCAGTGAAACGTGTCTGGCTGCATGACACACTGGTCACAACATAACAAAATGGCCACATAGATTCACATGGCATTAAAAGTCGCAGACTCAGACTGGAATCTCCCAAGATTCAGTACGGCCTGCACCTCTCGCAAGCCAATGTGCCACCAGCTGACTACCCTTCGGGATCAACAAAAAGGGGATTGCATCAATGCCTCCCTGCAGAAGGACACGTCCACATGTTCTCGGTCGACACCGTGGAATTACAATGGTTTTTTCCGATAAAAATGCGTCCACTGCCTGGGTCGACTGGAAAGACTTTGCATGACTTTCCGAATCAAATTGGTCAACTCTCGGAAAGTGAGGAGCTGAGCAAAAAGAGACAGGACCCTGTAGCCACAGGAGTGGAAGATAGCTGCCAGCTCGCAAAAAGAAAAGGACAACTCTTGCGATGTTTTCCACCGAAGCTCCCGCAAAAAAATGCAGATCGTAAACCAATCTTTCTCCGCTCCTCGCCACCCTTTTGGGCAAGGGTGATCATGAGGTATTTTTAGCTTCCACCTGAAAGAGGATGCTGGTGCATCCCGCAACCATTGTGGATAACGCAATCTGCACTCCACAGGAGTTAAAACAGCCGGCAACACTCGAACTTCAACTGGTGTCGACGGAGCTGGTTCCTTAGTGGGCAACAAACAATGAAGGCCAACCAGCCAAGTCTGATGGTCCAAGATCGCTTGCTTCAGTCCTTTCCGCATTGAAGGATCTATGGGGGTAATCTTGATGGCAGAGTCTTTGGCTGCGGCATCGACAAGCCTATATTGTGAGCAATGTGCTGTACAGTGGTGTCAAAGAGTGCTGCAAGTTCCTCCGTTAACAAGGCCAGTGGAACATGTTCAAGCTTATGTGTTGTTATCTACGGACCGCATATGTAGAATTTCTGCAAGGAAGCACCACCAGTGGTAACACTTCCACGTTGGATCGACTGGATGCCCTGGCGAAGACTGCTCGGAATGGTTGCTTTTGCTTCGTTTCTTTTGCTTCGTTTCGCTGGTGAAGTGACAGTATGTCTGCCATGGACTCTGTCAAGTGAAACAGCCTTAGATCAACACTGACACGACTGTGACCAACTCTCGCGTGTTGCGTTTGGGAGTCAGGGGACCGACCTAACTGGTTTTATGAGATGTTCAATTCGAGTTCTTCATCCGTTTACATTGTTCACATAGTTTAGATTCTTGAAAATAAACAAACACATATGAATCTGAAAAGGTTTGCAATCCAAATGGGGTGTGTGCATCAAGAGTCTCCATCACATCATGATATTACAATAATATATATATATATATAATATATATATATATATCAGTATATCTCAGCATCTTCATTTCTTCGCACCAAGTGGCAAAAGTTCTTTCCCAGACCGACTCTCGATGATCTCTGCGGCGATCCCACATTCAGGAGTGAGGCAAACGCAGAGGCGGGAGGGCATGGATCGGAGGTCTGAGAACTGAAGACAAGCACCCAGGCGAACGGTTGCGTGTGTGGATATACATACAGTAAATTCATGTCCATATATCTGTGTATACTGTATGGTGCCCTCACAAAGAATCAACACGATGTTTCCATATAGAGTTTATTGGTATTCATTGGTATTCTACATACATAGATGTACAGGAACAAAAACCGCACAACATCTGTAAGTGGGCTCAGACTGGGCTGTGTAAAAGGTCCAGCGTCACCCTCCTGCCCTTAGAAGGCCAAGACTTGGACCAGGGGACTCCCAGAGGGTTCGGAGAATGCTGTCAAGCATGTGACAGGACATGAACATGGTGTCCAAGTCCCAGTGTGTCACTTCTTGCGTTTTCCGTTGTATTTTCAAGAAGATATAAAAGAACATCATGCTATTTTATGTGCAGTTTGTGTTTCCAGCCAGACATGAGTGTCTCCAGGTCGTGGTATCATAAAACTGGGTGCCACCTCTTTTTTGATTTGTCACAGAAACGCATTAACTTTAACAGATTCCAAAAGGGACACGTTGCCTTTCGGTGACTCTATCAAACAGACATGGACGCAAAGAATTGCCCTTGGAAGGTCATGTTCCTCCAGCATGGTGGAGGCAGCTTCCACCAAACCACCCGCCTTACAGTCTGTGACTCTAGAGGCCCCCAGGGCCTGACCGGGCCTTCACCCCTTTCGCGTTCGAACCGCGGCAGGACGCGCAGCCCGCATCTTCTGGTCGGGTGAGAATGGTTGAGCGGACGTCTTCTGGTCTCACAGGCACAGTCCTGAGTTGGGGTGAAGATTTGGGGTTTTGTGGCCAAGTTCATGAGTTGATGCCATAGAAGATGCTGAGTCTATTCACTGGTACTTCCAGTCTCCGGAACATCTCAACTAGGATCCGGTTCTTCGAGCCCCTGTCAGACCCGGATTCCCCGCTTCAGCCTGCCTTTTGACATCCGTTCGGACTTGTGGTGTTTTTCCATGTGCCTTCCATTCATCAAATCCTACAAAGTCCCAAAAGTTCGACCAAAAGAGGAGCTGATCCCCTGATCCCCTCGGCCTGATCCCAACCCGAAAACCAAGTCGGAACCACCGAGCCACCGAGCGGTCGCGTCTCGGATCCTGGGGTGGTGTAACCCCCCCTCTCAAGACACATGTCCCGGTGTTCGCATTGTTTTTTCTTCGGACATTGTAAGTGTCATCATGATGATGATGGATGTCCCCGCCCCCTTGATGATGGATGTTCATAGAGAAAAGAGATTTTAAAAGGGTATGCATCCTCAGGGCGGTTTCCCACCCTGCCTTTCCAAAATTATCCGAAACAAACTAGACGACGAGTGGCCCGAAAGCATTTTTCATCACGTAGGAAGTCAGAGTGTGAGTTATCTGTTAAGTGTTCAGTGTGAAGTGTTTAAGTCGAGTGAGTTGAGGTAGTGTGTGGGTCTCTGTGTGTGTATCTATGTCCGTGTGTATATGAGTCTCTGTATGTGTGTGTGTGTCCGAGGAAGTTGAGGCAGTGCGTGGGTCTCTGTGTGTGATGTGTGTGTATGAGTCCCTGTCTGTGTGCGTGTGTGTCCATGTCTGCTGCTGGTGAAGGTCTTCACTGTAGATATAGTGAACGAAGTAGCGCGCGGGCCTCCCAAACCCCCCACCGGCTGCCAAGCGGTGACAGCCCAGCTCATCGTCGTGAGCGTTTGAGCTGCTGGTCTGGTAAGGGGAGAAGCAGCGTGCACGCCTCCAGGAAATCTCACTGAACAAAACGAGCTGGAATGGAGGCAGGTACGCAACAAGTTTGTCGAAGCAGTGACCTGTCAGAGGAGACGCGCCCATCGATATACGATCAGAGGTAACGTTTCCCTCACTGCAGGACACAGCGTTTCTAGGATGTAGTTAACCAACCACTATTCTTGTCATTGACTAAATGACTGTCTCAAAGAAAAACGTGACAAAGTAGCATGAGGTGACACACAGCAGGCACTGCAGATGTTTAGCGTAGTCTCTCTGTTCGGCTCGCGACCAGTATTATGGTGAACGAAGTAGCGCGCAGGCCTCCCAAACCCCCCACCGGCGGCCAAGCGGTGACAGCCCAGCTCATGGTCGTGAGCATTTGAGCTGCTGGTAAGGGGAGAAGCAGCTTGCACGGCTGCAGGAAATCTCACTGAAAAACGTGAGCTGAATGAATATAGAAAATTGCTAAGGCAGCCACGCAAGAAGTTTCTCGAAGCAGTGACCTGTCAGAGGAGATGCGTCCATCGATATACGATCAGAGGTAACGTTTCCTGCACTGTATGACACAGCTTCTCTAGGATGTAGGTAACCAACCACAAGACGACGAGTGGCCCGAAAGCATTTTTCATCACGTAGGAAGTCAGAGTGTGAGTTATCTGTTAAGTGTTCAGTGTGAAGTGTTAAGTCGAGTGAGTTGAGGCAGTGTGTGGGTCTCTGTGTGTGTGTATCTATGTCTGTGTGTGTATGAGTCTCTGTCTGTGTGTGTTTGTCTCCGAGTAAGTTGAGGCAGTGCGGGTCTCTGTGTGTGTGTCAACCTTTTAAGAGAGCCGGGTGGTCGGGAGACATGACTCAGCTGCAGGGGCGCCAGAGCAGCTGCGAGAGATGACTCAGCCGCGAGAGATGACTCATCCGCGTACTAAAGTTGTACTGCAAAGTCACCAGTTCTCAGCTTCCAGCTCCACAGATTGCTCCGCGTACTAAAGTTGTACTACAAAGTCGCCAGCCAGTTCTCATCTTCCAGCTCCCCAGATACTCCGCGTACTAAAGTTGTACTACAAAGTCGCCAGTTCTCATCTTCCAGCTCCCCAGATACTCCGCGTACTAAAGTTGTACTACAAAGTCGCCAGTTCTCATCTTCCAGCTCTCCAGATACTCCGCGTACTAAAGTTGTACTACAAAGTCGCCAGTTCTCAGGTTCCAGCTCCACAGACTGCTCCACGTACTACAGTTGTACTACAAAGTCACCAGTTCTCATCTTCCAGCTCCCCATATACTCCGCGTACTAAAGTTGTACTACAACTTCGCCAGTTCTCATCTTCCAGCTCCCCAGATACTCCGCGCGCAAAAGTTGTACTACAAAGTCGCCAGTTCCCAGCTTCCAGCTCCACAGATTGCTCCGTGTACTAAAGTTGTACTAGAAAGTCGCCAGTTCTCATCTTCCAGCTCCCCAGCTACTCCTCGTACTCAAGTTGTACTACAAAGTCGCGAGTTCTCAGCTACTACCCACTCATCAGTTCTCATCTTCCCACTCCCCAGCTACTCTGCGTACTAAAGTTGTATTACCAAGTCGCCACTTCTCATCTTCCAGCTCCACAGCTACTCCGCGTACTAAAGTTGTACTACGCAGTCGCCAGTTCTCAGCTTCCAGCTCCACAGATTGCTCCGCGTACTAAAGTTGTACTACAACTACAAAGTCACCAGTTCTCAGCTTCCAGCTCCCCACCTACTCCGCGTACTACAGTTGTACTACAAAGTCGCCAGTGCTCATCTCCCAGCTCCCCAGATACTCCACGCCCTCAAGTTGTACTACCCACTCGCCAGTTCTCATCTTCCCGCTCCCCAGCTACTCCGCGTACTACTCTCGCACTACCACGTCGCCAGTTCTCAGCTTCCAGCTCCCCAGCTACTCTGCGTACTAGAGTTGCGTACCAAATCGCACTCTCGCCTGCGTTTCGCGCACTCGACACGCACGATCTCCGCAGAGGGTTGCGCGCGGACCGGACAAATCGCACTCTCGTCTGCATTTCGCGCCCTCGACACGCACGATCTCCGCAGAGGGTTGCGCGGGCAGCCGGCAAATCGCACTCTCGCCTGCATTTCGCGCACTCGACACGCACGATCTCCGCAGAGGGTTGCGCGGGCACCGGACAAATCGCACTCTCGCCTGCATTTCGGGCACTCGACACGCACGATCTCCGCAGAGGGTTGCGCGCGCACCGGACAAATCGCACTCTCGCCTGCATTTCGCGCACTCAACGCGCACGATCTCCGCAGAGGGTTGCATTTTCGGTTGACGCTGTTCGTCCCACCCTCCGCCTTTAAGGGAGAATTTATATAGTGGGGAAATGTTTTTCATTAGGACATCTCCCGTGCAAGTTTTCCATACATGCATACTCATTGCATACTCATTACACTTGCATACTTTTGCACTTGGATACTTGCCGTTGGATGCTTTCACTCTTCCACTTACACTGGGGAACGTATAGAAGTGTGTTCATGTTCAAGTGTAAGTGTGAAAGCGTAAGTGTTCAAGTGTAGGCGTCGAAATGTCAGTGTTCAAGTGCAAGTGTGGAAGTGTCAGTGTGTAAGTGTAAGTGTCGAAGTGTCAGTGTTCAAGGGATTTTCCGGAAGAACCCTTCGCAATGCTTTCGGGAAAAATGCGTGAATTATTTCCCAAGAAATCGACCCCATGATGACCCCATGGGTTCATACAATTTATACTAGGGCTGCTGGAGTTTTCTGGGGTGGGCTGTGGCATTGCAGACGCCGCTCCAGAATACAAAACAACCAGCAGATGCGCGTATTCTTCATGTTTCTCCCATAATCTTTGCCAATAACACGCTTATATGTGATAATATGATTTTTTGATTTCTTCCACCCCATTCCATATATTTCCCTTGAGCATCCTTGAGCAAAGTTCCTTCCTGACAGGGGTTCCCACCCCCTGCTCGCATACAGTTCCTTGATAAAACAGCAAATATGGGGTCCGGCCAAAAGTCTATGATCAACAAACATTAGACAAAGGGGTCGAATGTCGTTTATGATGGTGTATTTTCAATTAGACTATGTAGCGGCCCCCAGCTAAACACACCTACTCTGCAGCTGGGCGCTAGGTTTGCGGTAGACTTGCGCTAGTGTTTGACTTAGGACATGTTCAGAATGTCGTCAGGTTTTGAACAGTAACGTGGCTGGCTAAAAAATGCGCTAGCACTGCGCTAGATCCGCGCTAGCAAACA